CATACATTCCCTAGTCACCTGTGGAGTCCTGGCTGTGGGTAGGAGGAGAGAGACGAGTGGGAAGCAGCCCCAGCTTTTGCCCTTGAGAAACCTTCAGGATGGAGGGAGAAACACACACTCTGTAGGTCATAGTCATCCACGGTGCACACATGCTAAGGGCGTGATGACCTAGAGGAGGAAGTGACTACCCCCAGTGTAGGGCTCAGATGCTTTCTAGGGGAGTTGAAATTGCGACTGCGCCTGGTGGGTGAGTAGGAGGTGAGCAAGCAGAAAAGGGAGGCCGTGCCAGGCAGAAGAGACAGCGTAGCACATGTGCCAGGGCGGGCTGCAGGGAGGGACATGGGGTTGGATCATAAAGGGCTTTGAGTGACCCCAGCTCCCTCGGCCCCCAGGCTACCTCATCATCCACGTGATGCAGAGCCTGTGTGGCATGGCCATCATGTACAGCTTGGTGCTGCCAATCCTCCACAACCAGGGCCTGAAGATGCTCCAAGGTCTGGGCATTAGCATGTAAGTGCTGGGCGGGCATCCTGCCGTGGCCACGACCTGGGGGCTGGAGTGCCCTCCCCACTGCTCTCACAACAGCCTTTCCCTGCTGGCCTCTCACCAGCCCCTGGACCCATGGTCTTGGCTCTGACCCAGGCCCATAGCAACGCACAGGCAGAAGAACCAGACAACTTACAAAAGGTTGCCTCTCCCACTGTCACACGGGGTCCTCAGGACTGTGTGCATGTGTGTGTGTGTGACACGTATGTCCACTTTCCAGCTGGAAAAATTGAGGCTTAGGAAGGCAAAGGGAAAGGCAGAACAGTGTGATGGAGGAGGCGGGGAATCCTGGCTATGCTTTTGGATCTGCTGTGTGACTTGGGGTAAGTTCCTTCCCTTTTCTGGGCCTCAGTTTACAGAACTGGAAGACAGCGTGAACACCGGCATCATCGAGCACTTACTATGCATCTTTTCTCATAACAGCCCTGTGAGTTTGCGGCTTACGTTACCCTCCATTTTGCACATCAGGAAACAGGGACACAGAGTGACTGAGCATTTTGTCTACAGAGAGGGAAGACAGAGCTGACCAATCTGAAACCACAGCATCCTTTTAACCATTACCACACACTGCCACTCAGGGGATGTCAACACAGCATGAGGTGCTCTGAGCTCCTTGGTTCCATACTTGCCTAGAGCCGCCTGTGAGTCTGGGGTAGAGCCTGTCCTATCTTGTGGCCATCTCAGGCACTTCCCAAAACCCCATTTCTTTCTTTGATTCTCAACCTATTAAACCATTCACCTAGATGCCACCCCTGGTAAAAGAACATCAATAAAAGCCTGGATAATGAATAAGACTTGATCTTGTGGCCTTGGGAAAGTCACCTCCCCTTTGTGAGCCTCAGTTTTCTCATTTACACACTGGGCATAGGAGTCCTTTGTAATCATGAGTCACAGAGCTCAATGCTACTGCTGTTCTGCCGGGCGGTCAGCGTGTCTCTCGCCTCTACCACTGGGCATCAGAGAAGGGCATGGAAGAGGCCACCTCAGGATGACCCCACCCTGTGTTTCAGCCTCACCTTATCCGTCATCGTGGGGCTCATGATCCTGCAGGTGTGGATTGCTGCCAGCTTCTTCCTGCAGCCAAAGCTGGGCACAGATGACAAGCAGAAGCCCTTGGCTCTCAACAACAGGTGAGCGGGGAGGAGGGAGGAGGGAGTTGTAGGGCTTCGGCATCAGCTCTCTCTAGGTCCTTCCCCTCTAGCCTTGGCAGGCTCCCAGGTGGGCTCCACAGACCATGGTGCAGTGGGTCAGGGGAGGGCTCTGGAGCCAGACTGCCTGGGCCCAAACCCTGGCTCCACTCCTTACGAGCCATGTGACCTTGTGTGACCTTACTGAACACCTGTGAACCTCAGTTTCCCCATTTACATATAATTGTGTATACCTCCAAGAAGTGTTGTGAGGACAAAATGCGTTAAAATATGAATTTAGACAACAATGTCCAGCAAATTGTAATCTTTTCTAATTCATTCATTCGAAGACATTCACTTGTTTATGAAATAACATGGCACTAAGGGTAGAGAGATAATCCTGTCACCACCTGCCTATAAGAAGCACAACAATGTCCAGCAAATTGTAATCTTTTCTAATTCATTCATTCGAAGACATTCACTTGTTGATGAAATAACATGGCACTAAGGGTAGAGAGATAATCCTGTCACCACCTGCCTATAAGAAGCTCACGGTCCACTGGAGCAGACAGACCCATAGACTGCAAGGCCAGCAGACTCCAGAGCATGCACAAGGATTGCAAGAGAAACATGAGCAATGGAGGAGGAGAGGCGGGGGGGTTAATTTCACTGCAGATGGGACCCTTGAGCTGAGGTCGGTAGGATGGTAGGATTCCCACAGGAAGAGAGGAGGAGAGGGCATGGCCAACAGCCACTCAGCAGGGATGAAGCCAGGAAGCCACAAAGGACAGGGAGTGTTGGAGGATAGTGGGAATCCAAGATGGTGACTGTGCAGCGGCCCAGGACAGTGAGGGGCAGGAAGGGGGCACAAAGTGAAGAGACCAGAAATCCCCTCTCGGGGGTGCCCTGAAACTCAGGATGCAAAGTTTGGGCTTCATGCCAGAGGCAAGAGGAAACAACACGATCAGGCAGTCATTTGGGAAGTTTCCTGTGGAGGAATTTGGAACGGCCCCGGCTGGGGGCAGGTTCTTGTTGCAAAGACAGTGGGGAAGTCCCACCCTCTGCTGTAACCACTGAACCTGCTGTCACCCCATGAGATTTCTTAAATACAGGAAACCTAAAAGCCTAAGGATCACATGAAACAGTCGCAGTCCCCGCTAACGTTCGTCCTGCTCTGTGCACCTGAGCCAGTACCCACACCAGCGCTGTGAGGTGGGGGCACAAGGTCACAGAGCCAGGAGATGGGCGTTGTGGGACTTCACCCCAGGCCTGGGGGGCTCCACAGCCCGCCTGCCTAGTTACCTTGCCCTACTGAAGGGTGTGCCTCTGCCACCTTGTGTCTACAGGAAAGCGTTCCACAACTTCAACTACTTTCTGTTCTTCTACAACGTGCTGCTGGGCCTGGGCGCCTGCCTCTCCAGGCTGCTCATTAGCTGCATCCTGGGCACGTGGCTGATTGCACGCATCGACAGGACCATCATGCAGAGTGGCTATGAGGGAGCTGACATGGGTAAGTGACCAGCTCCCGCTGGCCACCCCCTCTGGGGAGGGCCAGTTTTGTTCTTCCAGCAGCTATCAGGTATCAGAGGCCTGGAGTTCACAGCCTTCCCTTAGGCTCAGATCTTATCTTCCCATGGAGGCTGCAAAGCTGAGCAGAAGAAACACATACAGCCCATTGGTCAGGAGGGAGTTCAAGGCTGTTAAATTCCTGACCACTTGGCAGACCTTTGAGGTGTGATAATAGGGGTAGTCAGAGGTAGTCGAAGTCTATCCAAACAGTTAGAAGTTAATTTATGCACAGCTCTGAAAATTTTGAGAAAGAACACATCCTGGAATTATTAGTATTGCTAATTGGAAACTTAGTTAAGAAAATGTTCTGTTCAGTTGAAATACTCCCAAATCAAAGCCATTTAAAAGAAAGCGGAAGTAGTTTTTGTTCTATTTCCAGCCCACGATCATTCATTCATTCATTCATCCATTCAGTACATGCACTGATGCCTTCCCAAGATTGGCAGTGGCTGCTCCTAGCCCCTTGGAGCTTCAAGTTCTCCATAAAACCAACGGATTAGAACATGTCTCTAAGAATCCTTCCAGATCTTTATACCTCATTTTCTAGATTCTCAGCAAAGATGCAGGCACTGCTGGGGAGCAAACCAACACTGCAGTCGTATCATAAAAAGCATAAACTGGGCCATGGCGGGAGGTGCTGCCTGGCNTCAGGAGGGAGTTCAAGGCTGTTAAATTCCTGACCACTTGGCAGACCTTTGAGGTGTGATAGAAGGGTAGTCAGAGGTAGTCAAAGTCTATCCAAACAGTTAGAAGTTAATTTATGCACAGCTCTGAAAATTTTGAGAAAGAACACATCCCAGAATTATTAGTATTGCTAATTGGAAACTTAGTTAAGAAAATGTTCTGTTCAGTTGAAATACTCCCAAATCAAAGCCATTTAAAAGAAAGCGGAAGTAGTTTTTTCATTCATTCATTCATTCATTCATTCATTCATTCATTCATTCATTCATCCATTCAGTACATGCACTGATGCCTTCCCAGGATTGGCAGTGGCTGCTCCTAGCCCCTTGGAGCTTCAAGTTCTCCATAAAACCAATGGATTAGAACATGTCTCTAAGAATCCTTCCAGATCTTTATACCTCATTTTCTAGATTCTCAGCAAAGATGCAGGCACTGCTGGGGAGCAAACCAACACTGCAGTCGTATCATAAAAAGCATAAACTGGGCCATGGCGGGAGGTGCTGCCTGGCCTGACCTGCCTCTGGATTTCAGGGTTCGGCGCATGGATCGGCATGCTTTATGTGGACCATTATCACACCAACCCCGTGCTTGTCAGCTTCTGTCACATCCTGATCTCAGGCCACCGTGAGAGGAGGCTGCAGCAGGCCAGCAAATACTGGTGCCCAAATCAACCAGGAGGTAAAGTCTCCTGCTTGAACTTACACTGTGTTCAAATAAATATCCAGAGTCTCCCTAGGATCCCTGAAATGCCCCAGGTTCCACCCTTCCTGTCCCCTTTTCTCCATACTCCATGCCCTGGGTGCCTTTCAACCAGAGACCTCATGAGGCTTAGCTCCCAGTGGGCCTGGTCGTTGGACCACTCAGGCCTTGTGTCCTTTTCCTGCTAACTGGCCTCCTCCATTCTTCCTGGAAATAAACTCTAGTTCCACTAGTGGAGGCCTCCCTATCCCATTTGTTTGAGACTCCAGCCCATCTCCCAGGCTGCATGCCAGATGCCCTCCAAGATGGGGCTCAGTTTTGATTATTCTGCCCTGTTGCTCCTCACAAGCTCTCTGAGGCTATCCTGCCTCCATAGAGCTTGGACTTTGTTCATTGCTGTCCCCAGCACCACAGATACCCAAGTCTGGGGGGCAACTCACATCCCTCCAACCTCCCTCATGTCCCCAGAAGCCCCAGTCCAGCTCTTTCTGCCACACCGCACACATTCCAGGCAGTTCTTTCAAAAGCCTTTGAGAACGACAGAGGTACCCACCCCTACCCCCGACCCCCACCCAGTCTATGCACTCTGATTCTATCCTAGNCAGAGGTACCCACCCCTACCCCCGACCCCCACCCAGTCTATGCACTCTGATTCTATCCTAGGTCCCCGCGTCTCAGCTAGGTCCAAGACGAGGTGGCTCTTGCTGCAGACCCTGAACAACAACCCCAGACTCATCCTGCTCAGAAAATCGAAATTGGCGCATGGCTCCTGGGACTTTACCCAGATTCTGCTGACGTGCTCAGAGAGCTGACACTGGCCTCCAGTACCTGCTTCAAGGCCAGGCCAGGCCATCTGTCCCTAAGAGAAGGCTCAGTCCACCAGAAGCTCTCCCTTGCAATGAGATGGGATGGCACAGGCACTGTCCACACAGAGGGCAAACAGCACTGGCCACTGATGGATGGCCATCTGGGCTGAGGGATGAAGTCTCAGGACTATTTCAATCCTTGGCAAAAGATCGCAAACTAAAGAAAAGTCTATTGAACAAACTTTGCCAGTTAACGACTTCCACTATCCATTGTGGATAGGCAGCCTTGGGGAGTTACCTGTTAAGAAGCACTTACTTTACTTATAAGGCAGAACATTATGTCACTGAAGGTGCTAAAATGTCTACATTAGGAGAGTTTAACCAGAGACTATTTTTCCCCAGAGCAGAGTGTGGCCTTCAGTCCGACAGGGTCCTTATGGCTTCCTTCTGTACAGGCTTAAATCCATGATCCTGGACCACAATCTGGTAGGATGAGCAGGCATACAAGAGCTCTTTCTCCCATGGCCACTGGGACAAGGAATGGATCAGAGTTGACCTGGGCCTTGGTCACAAAGAATATACACAGGTTTTCTGACAAGGGTGGAACTGCCTGGGAAAGGCAGAGACAGGGCAGGAACTCTAGGTGGGGGACAAGAGCAGAGTTGTGTGAGTAGGTCCCAAGCACATTTGAGGAGGGTGAGCCATGTGGCCCATGACGGTGGAGGGTGCCGGGGACAGGTTAGGCCTATTCCAAGGAGGCCCAAATGCCAACTGAGAGACATGGGCATTTATCCTCATGCAGAGCTCA